TTGAGGCCCAAACTGTGGTCACTGCACCACTGTGTGGCTCTGTACGTCGTAGAGTTCAGACAGAACTGTCTACTTTGGAATCTAGTCATGAGCCAGATTTGGCCCGCGAACCGCCAGTTGATGATCACTAGTGTACGGTCGGGGTAAACAGACCCAGGATCAGGTGTCAGTGATGTCGAGCAGCGTCTCTTTATCTCCAAAATGAAACCGACTTCAGCGCAGCAGCGAGTTTATGTTTCTAAGAAAATAAGTCAAAGTTTATCGACGTTTTATAAATGAGTTCCCGTCACTATTTATTTTTAAAGTATCGACCGTGTTGCTGTGATCCACGGCAACAATAACCAAAATAATCTGGATTAAATCTCCGAGTTCGAGCTCGGGCTCCTGTTGAACTGATACGAACGCCGACGCCCATCTGGTTAGTCAGGCCGACGGGAAGAGTCGCTGCCAAGACAAACTCATCATTCCAGACGTCAGGCAAAGATTCACGACTTCTCCTCCTCAGTCAGCCATGAAGAAAAAAAAAGTATTTGTTTTGGTCGGAGAACAAGAAAAAAAAATACTGAAGAGTCTCCGACTGTCTCCTCTGATCTTCTGTTGTCATCTGCTGTCCAAACACCGCTGACGGCTCTTGACGCTTTTCTTTATCTCCCTCTCAGGGCGGAAAGATCCCGATCCGATGGACGGCACCCGAGGCGATCGCCTTCAGAAAGTTCACCTCCGCCTCAGACGTGTGGAGCTACGGCATCGTCATGTGGGAGGTCATGTCTTTCGGGGAGAGACCCTACTGGGACATGAGCAACCAAGACGTGTGTTTGTCTTTTTTTTTTTGTCTCCCTCTGGTCCCTGTGACCACCCCAGCATCCCCTAGAGGAGGGCGTTCGTCGTTGCGCGTTCGTAGAACTCTTCATTGTTGTATGATGTAAACATTAACGCAGCAGATGGTTCTGCACGTCGGCTTTTTACAATGGAATCTGAATGGCTTTGTTTTCTTCCTGGAAACGGCCTCAGATGGTGGGAAGTACCTGAGTGAGGGGTTTTATTTGTCATAAAGTTAAAGTACACGTTTTTAATTTGTACCTTAACTTTTAAAGTACACATTTTTAATTTGTATCTTAACTTTTAAAGTACTTTTACTTGCAGATTAAAAAAAAAACTTAAGCTTTTAAAGATTTAATTTTTCAGATGCGTTGTAATTATTTCATAGAGATTAATCACCAGCCAGAATCAGAAACAGGCCTCGAGATACAGATGATTAAAAAAAATAGAGTTAAATTCTTTTTAATTATTATTATTTAAAAAATGCAAATCGGAAGAACGTGGAAAAAAAGTTGAAAAAAAAAAATAACCCCTGAAGAACTGTGACTAAATCCCTGAACTTGTCTCAACTGGTTAATCAATAATTAATTAGCGCCTTAGCCGCTAGGAGATGTAGCACATGCCTGTTACCGTGACGACTCCCTGCCTGTTTATTCAAGATGAACTGGAGTGAAAAAAAAAAACAACAATTCTGTTCCCCGTCGTAGGGCGTCGTTCGGTTCGGTCGTTCAGGGAACACAATTAACACGGAGCAGCACCTGGAGTCAGCGCTGAACTATTTTTACACTCGTTAATTAATATAAATTGATTTCCTAAAGAGCCGGTTCCTGTTGAAGTGATTCAGATCAGCAGTAGGTGAAAAAAATATATTTCAGGGAAACTTCCTGGGAAGAAAAAACCCAACTCCAGCTTTAGGTTTCATGTCATTTATTGAACAAATATAAATTCTAAATTCTTCTCACTTCTGTAGGTGATCAATGCCATAGAGCAGGACTACAGGCTGCCCCCGCCCCCCGACTGCCCCACCCACTTGCACCAGCTGATGTTGGACTGCTGGCAGAAGGACCGCTCAGCACGTCCTCGCTTCTCAGACCTCGTCAGCGCTCTGGACAAGCTGATCCGCAACCCGGCGTCGCTGAAAATAATCGCCCAGGAAGCAGCGGGGTGAGTGGACGTCACACGCATACATTCT